CGCCCCCGCACCGCTTCGCTGCAAAACTTTTCGTTTTCGCGTCGCATTTAAACAACTTTCACGCTCCGGCGGTGGTCCAGCGAGCGAAGGGCTGGCTCTACCTCTGCGACGTGGAGGCTTCAGAGCAGTACTGCTCTGAAGGTGGAGGCGGGGCAGGCCGCGAGCTCGTCACCTTCAAGTCCCTCCCCCGCCGCTCTGCAGGTGCCTGCTCGCTGCTCGGCTCGGGCTGTGCAGAGCTGTACCGCCGCCCGCCTCCACTACTTGGCACCAGCAATTTCGACTCATCTCGTTGGAGATGACGGCGGCTCTAGCGCGAGACACAAGCTGGGCCCCACAATTAGAGAGGCACAATTCATTTGCTTTTGAGGCGCAGCCGAGCAGCAGCAGCCGGGCGCGCCCAGCCCAGGGGGGGCTGCACCCGAGCCCGGGCCAGGTCGAGCCGAGCTGCGTCGGGGAGGACAAGAAGAAGGACGCGGGCGAAAAACGGTAAATTTAAAAAAACAAAAAAAAAAACAGGAAAAAATCAATATAAATCGAAAAAAAACAACTGGGGGGGCATCATCCCTGCCTCTGCCGCTTGCCCCGCGTTCTCGCGTAGCGTTGCGGTCGGTTTGTTGATTCTGTTTGTTCCGCCCGTCTTCCGATGTCAACATCTCATCTTATCCCGTCGGATCCGTAAAAATGTATCCGTAATGCAGGCCTGATTCCATTGCGGGTTAGTTTTTTCATTTTTATTATGAACTTATTCCGTGTTTATCAAGATATACCGTGCTAGTACTATGAACATAACCTAGCTTTTGGTTGACACATCTGGTGTGAGCGTCAGAGTGAAGTGTCTGGTTTTGATATCTTCTAGGTTCAATGATCGTGCTGAGTGCGTGCAGTTAAAGTGCGGTTCGCTCTAGGCTCGAAGCTCCTACCAGTCCACCTTCAACAACCCTGAGGAATTTGAGTCGACACTTTGCAAGCGCATTGGTTGCACATTATTTTACAAGGTCAGTCTACATGGGGACAGGGGTGTGGTAGTATTAGGTTTTGGCAAATAAAAGTACTTTAATTCTTTGAAACATCAAGTGCTTATCTACTCTGAACGTTTGAAGTGTGACGCTCTGACCACTTGCAGAACGTCAGAAAGTTTGCTGCCACTTAAACCAATCACTTACTTGTATCTTTTAAATGCCATATGCATCGTAACTGACTGGACTAGATTTTATTCACTTTTTGTTTTTAATGCCTATGGTTCACTGCCATTATTTTCTTCTGACAACTACGTAGAACTTACAAAATCATGGCTTTGTGCTTCATTACCCTTTCTTCATTTTTGTTCCCTTGTTTGTGTAGCACACTCACAGCAATAGCATTGTGAGTATCGGCACATTCACACCATGAAAATATTACTTTTTCTCCATAGCTTCATATGTACTCCAACAAAATTTAGTACCAACATGATAGTAGAACGTTGGAGTACGCATCTAGACACTTCAGAAACGTTGATGACAATTCGAATGAACCATACAAAATACAGTCTAGTTTATTAATATTTTAGAAAAATAGTGCAAAAATATGGACGAGTGCCTTAAAGGGGAGGTTAGGCTAATGTAGGAGCAGTCGGTACTGACCAGATTACTAACTACTGTTCTAGTTACTCCTCTTATAGCATCACAGCTTTAGTGCTGCTGGTGTATTCACTGACTGACTCTGACGAGGTCGCAGCTCGAGTTGTAGGGTTTGACCCCCCGTGAACGTGAAAGTAAAAGCGTCCCTCGCAGCAGGGCCGTTTGGGATCGAGCTGTGCGAGACGCACCAGGTAATAGGTGCGCCGAGGTGCAGGCCCGCGCGGGGAAGGCCACCACGCCTTGCGCCCCGCCCCGCCCCGCCCCGCCC